CACTCGGAAACCAGGACTGGTTTTATCCTTTCCTGATGGCTGGGTTCTTGGTCTTTTGGAGAATACCGAAGGGTTTGCCTGTTGGACCACAGACTTCAATCTAGCAAACATTTTCCAAGTGGGGAATGGAGTTTAGGAGCCATATCCTGTCCTCAAGTCCCACTGTTCTTAAAAGTTTCAACTAATGGCCTGAGTCTAATCCCATAGGCACGTATTTTGTCAGCCTGTATTCTGAAGAGAGTGGAACTCATCAGCTATAACCTAGATCTGAATGTAGCCAGAAAACAGGCAAGAAATTTTCTTGTCCTTTTGTCTATGTTTCCAACTTTTCTTTCCACAGACTCATCTACTTCTGAGTTTCTTTAATTGCCTTTTGACTATGAGTGTGTCCATGGTGTGTTTCAAGGAATTTCATCACTTAGTCTGGACTCTGCTTCTGGGAGCTTAAAGACACTATTAGAAATATGTTATGAAGTGTGGGAATATCAGCCAAAACAAATTACCAACCTCAAAAATCACAGAAAAGGATGCATGGACGTATTCTCTACTCATGGAAAAAGTATTATCACTTGGGCAATATTTTCTTAATTAACTTTGCATTTTGAAATCATTTTAGGCTTTCAAAATTTAAAAACATTCATTGTATATCTTTCAACTAGACTTTCCAAATTTTAACATTTTGTGTAATCACAGTGAGGTGAGTAAATAAAATTATCAAAATCAAGAAATTAACTTGATACAGTGCCGTTACCTAATCTTCAGACATTCAAAGTTTGTCAGTTGTCTCACTGAAGTTCTTTTTATGGCCCAGAATTCAATCAAGCATTTCATGTTATATTTAATTATACTTGTTTATAGTTTCCTTTAATTTACAATGGTTCCTTAGTCTTTCTTTGCCTTTCATCACCTCGACACTTTCAAAGAGAAGTATCCCTCAATCGGGGCCCGTCTGATGGTTCTCGGTGGTTAGGGTCAGTTGTTCCCTTTCTGCAGGTTTCGGGATATTGATATGTCCTATTCCTGGTGAGATTCACTCTGATTCTTTGGTTAAAGTTGAGTAGATCTTCTGCCTCCAAGAAGCAGAAATATAAAGAATAAATTTCTGAAATCTCTAAATTCCAGCAGAAACAGGCTTGCAGAACACACAGTGCACTCCCTCCTTGGCACGAATTCCCTCCTGACTGAAGGTTGTGGTGAGGGTGAGCAACCACTCGGAAACCAGGACTGGTTTTATCCTTTCCTGATGGCTGGGTTCTTGGTCTTTTGGAGAATACCGAAGGGTTTGCCTGTTGGACCACAGACTTCAATCTAGCAAACATTTTCCAAGTGGGGAATGGAGTTTAGGAGCCATATCCTGTCCTCAAGTCCCACTGTTCTTAAAAGTTTCAACTAATGGCCTGAGTCTAATCCCATAGGCACGTATTTTGTCAGCCTGTATTCTGAAGAGAGTGGAACTCATCAGCTATAACCTAGATCTGAATGTAGCCAGAAAACAGGCAAGAAATTTTCTTGTCCTTTTGTCTATGTTTCCAACTTTTCTTTCCACAGACTCATCTACTTCTGAGTTTCTTTAATTGCCTTTTGACTATGAGTGTGTCCATGGTGTGTTTCAAGGAATTTCATCACTTAGTCTGGACTCTGCTTCTGGGAGCTTAAAGACACTATTAGAAATATGTTATGAAGTGTGGGAATATCAGCCAAAACAAATTACCAACCTCAAAAATCACAGAAAAGGATGCATGGACGTATTCTCTACTCATGGAAAAAGTATTATCACTTGGGCAATATTTTCTTAATTAACTTTGCATTTTGAAATCATTTTAGGCTTTCAAAATTTAAAAACATTCATTGTATATCTTTCAACTAGACTTTCCAAATTTTAACATTTTGTGTAATCACAGTGAGGTGAGTAAATAAAATTATCAAAATCAAGAAATTAACTTGATACAGTGCCGTTACCTAATCTTCAGACATTCAAAGTTTGTCAGTTGTCTCACTGAAGTTCTTTTTATGGCCCAGAATTCAATCAAGCATTTCATGTTATATTTAATTATACTTGTTTATAGTTTCCTTTAATTTACAATGGTTCCTTAGTCTTTCTTTGCCTTTCATCACCTCGACACTTTCAAAGAGAAGTATCCCTCAATCGGGGCCCGTCTGATGGTTCTCGGTGGTTAGGGTCAGTTGTTCCCTTTCTGCAGGTTTCGGGATATTGATATGTCCTATTCCTGGTGAGATTCACTCTGATTCTTTGGTTAAAGTTGAGTAGGCTCCTCCACTGCGATAACCTCTTCCTCTTTGCAACTACAAAGTACCCTATTAGGAGATACTTTGAGACTAAATATCCTCTTCCTCATCATACATTTACCCATTACTTTCAGCACCATTTGATGATTTTTATCTGAAACAATTATGACTGTGATGTTTTCCACATGGTGCTTTTCTAATTTCATCATTTCTTTTTACGTATATTTATTGGAATTATATGAACAAGAAGAACTCTTTCTCCTCTATTTTTTCATGTTGAACATTTCAATGTATTTGAAATGCCTGACACATGATACCACCATCCCTGCTGGCTTAGATGCTAAAATCCATGTCCCTCAGCACAGATAGAGAGAGGCCTAGCGTGGACTTACTGACTGCTAAAGCACTATGGCAAAAGTAGATCTGGGCCGGGGATTTAGCTCAGCAGTTCCTCTGCCTGCCTTGCAAGCACAAGGTCCTGAGTTCAATTCCAGGTACCAAGAAAAAAAAATAGATTAACCATGCCATGAGTTGGTGGGGTGATGGACGTGTAAGTGATATAAGCTCCCTGGAAAATAATTTGGTGTGTACTATAATAAGACTTCAATATATTTCTAAACTTATGTCCATAGTTCCAACATGTAAAAAGAGAATGACAGATGTGGCCAGATATTTCTGGGCAAGCAAATGGATTTGTTGCAGATTTACACCTAATGCTCATTCGTAGGACCACTGTTTTAATGGTCTTAATACTCTAGTGGTCATTAGTAACCTAACCTAATTGTCATAAATATGTGATCCGTGAAGAGTCAGTAAAAGAATAGCTAATAATTACTGAGTAGTCCTGCATGATTACCATAGACTATATCATGAAATTTATTCTCAGTTTCTCTTCGTGTGACATATACAAGTGTATGGATATGTCTTTATATACTTCAATATACATATATACATATATGTATGCATATTAAAGTAAAAAGCAAAGATTATTTAAAAATTCGCTAGACTGCTTCAATGATGGTGAGATCATAGCCACAACTGTTTTCATCTTTATACTTTCCTGTGTTTTCCAAATTCTGTGCAAGTATCATTTTCTTTTTTATTATGCAAATTCTTTCAACTGACATAAGATGAAAGATGAGAGGAATCTGGTCATGTTTGTCAGAGAGGATTATTACACAAAGATGTGAGGTTTTAAAGAGAGACAGGATGCACTTTTATCTGAATGGAACAATTCAATGCAGAAAAGGGAAACATACCCTATTATTACTTAAGTACATGACTCTGTTCTTCTCCCTAGCATCTTTTCTTGGTTTGTTTCTTCTGAAGCCTCAAGACCTGATGGAATCTGAAGGTACAGTCATATAATTTCATGGCATCTCAGTCTTAAGCAGTGATTGCTTAGACTCAAGATCCTAGTTGAGAGTCAGTTCAAAGGAAGCCTCTCAGGGGTGACTTCCCTTCTTCCCATACTTTTCCAAAGAGACCAAATCCTCCTTCAAAGGTTACACCTGCCACAGTGAGAGGACACCCTTCTCTGAAGTGTATGTTTTAGGCTATTCAGCAACCTCCCTACTGTTGAAGAACCTGAAAAAACAGAAATCTAAGAAGATGCATCAACAAGAAATATAAAACTCAGGACGATGCAGGCCAGGTTTGCAAATCAAGCCTCAACTCAGTGCAGGATTATGATACAGACTCTTGTTGATGAAGACTCAGCTGCTGATCAGAATGTCTCTGGCAACAATCAGCAAATGGATAAGAATCCAAAGCTCAGAGGGCACAGAATGGGCCTCATGGATAGCTGTCCAGAAATACAGCTTGTCCTTCCTGAGTCTGCTGAGAAAAGTAAAGATGACAGTGAAAATCAGAAGAAGAACAAAGAAGTTGACAGCTGTGATGAAGAATATCAAGAACCTGATGAGTAGATTTAGAAATATGACAAAGACAATATCCTCCAGTTTCAGGAACCATCAAGGAAGATTTCCAGCGGGGCAGCATCTCCCCTCCACATCCAGCTCAGGTCCCTCATGAAGACATCACCCAAGTCCCGGAAAAGAGACCTTGCTTGTTTTTGGAGGAGAGTGACCCACCAGCAGCCCCAACCAAGAAAATAAGTAAGTGTCTCTGCAGCTCTGAAAGAATTCACCCTAAGAGACCCTCACTGAATCAGCATAACCCGAATCCCCAGATTTTTAAACAGTTTGATGGCCCCGGTTCTGTAATTCCTATAGGTTTATTTTTCTCAATGAAATAAATGCTCTTGTTCACTGTGTCTGCTTCTCCCAGGATACTTTCTTGATGCAGGCTGAAAGCAGACATATTGCATAGAGGACTGAAATGCATCTCAGGAAGTTGCAGTTAAGTTGGTGCTTGCTAAAGAGAAGGTGCGCTGCTTCTCTCCTTTCACCCCTGCTCACCAGATTTTATTCATTTTTATCAACTATCCTTTCAGTATTTTATCCTGTTTTGTCACTAACTCATATCTCCATTTTCTTTCATTTGTTTGTTTGTTTGAGACAAGGTCTCTCTGGCTTCAAACTCCCTGCAATCCTGTGGCCTTGGCCTCCCAGTGCTGGGATTACAGATGTGTGCTACCATGTCTGGCACAACACTGTATTTAGTAATTTTGTTTTGTTTTCCTTTTTTGGGTACCAGGGATCGAAGTCAGGACTTTGTGCTTCCGAAGCAGGTGGCAGAACCACTGAGCTAAATCCCCAGCCCACAGCCCTGTATTTAGAAGGCAGCAGGACAACCATCAGACTCTCACCAGGGTGGCGCGCTTTGGGGTGATCTGGGCCTGAGCGAGTGACAGTGCAGACCAGCCTGGGTCACAGGGTGAGTCCCTTATGAAGAAATTTTTACCAGAACTGTCACTCCCAGTAAGAAGCAAAGCATCTTTAGGTGGGACAAGGTGAGCCTCCTTTACCCCAGCCGTCAGCGGTCACACAAGCAATGCCATCTGAGAGGCAGGCAGAGCTGAAGAAATCCCACTACTGACTGCCCAGTCCTCAGGCTTTTCTCCAGTGAGCTCAGGTCTATGCTGAGCCAGCAGCAGGTCCTAGGTGCAGCTGTGCTTCCCACAGGCTCCCCTGTGCTCTCCCAGCCTCTCTCCTTTATTTTAAAATTATTTATCTATAACAGTATAACTCACAGATTATTTTAATCTACTTAATAGCATTACTAGAGGTATTATCCTGTGCTCAAATTATCCCCAATTTGGTCCTTGGAAGCCTCTTCAAAGTAATGTCTGCGTCGCTGGCACAGCTCTGACTTTCCTGCAGTACTCTCTTTCTTTATGACACATCAAAATGTTTCTGGATCATCTTATTCCTTCTCCGCTGCAGATCTAGGATTAGCCCTTTAAGGAGCTCTTTTCTTGGAGAATAGTATTTAGAATATTCTGTAAACTAGTTGTTCTTGTTGCTATTGGGGTGACATTACTTCTCGGTCCTCTAAGCAAGCAGAGATAAGAAATAAATGTAGTATATACACATCTCTTTCTGTTTTCGTGTGTGTGTGTGTGTGTGTGTGTGTGTGTGTACAAAAACTCTAGGTGATCACAAGTTCAAATGCAGCCTGTGCATCTTAGCCACTTATGGAGAGACTGTCTCAAAATAAGAAATAAAAAAGGCCTGGGAATGTAGTTCCGTGTAAAGCCACTGGGTTCAATCTCCAGTACCACGCAAAACAAAAGCAAAGCCGTGAGTGTACAATAACCCCATCCCCAGTCCGAGCCCAAAGACTCATTCTGGATTCCTCCTTGTTTTCAACTTTCTGACAGTGAGAAGCCTAGTAATCAGATATTTACTTACCTGCTCAGCCCAGGGATATACATAAAAGTTTAACGTCTTTCCTCCTTAAATGCCAGGACATACAAGTAGTTATAAATTTGAGCAATTACATATAAATTTTAGAATGTGATTGTAAAATTCCTTACCTTTCCTTCTTATATTATTATTCATGGTAATTCTCTATAGCAAAGCAAATCTTTACCCATTTATTATTTCAAAGACCTTTCAAGGTTATCTTATTTCTTGCCTAAGGTTCCATATTATCACAGGCTCTTTTCTAATAATTTAAGAGGAAGAGTTGAGAGTGGAATCCAATATATTATTATTTCTTCCTCTCATTTTAATTAGAATAACCAAGACAGACTCAAAGAGGACTGTTACTTAATCCATTTATTTTCTTTCTTTCTTTTTTTTTTTTTTTTGTTTGTTTGTTTGTTTTTTGAGATAGGGTCTCACTATGTAGTTGAGACTGACCTGGAACTCACTATGTAGGCCAGACTGGTCTCGAACTCACAGAGATCCTCCTAATTCAGCCTCCCGAGTGCTGGGATTACAGGCGTGTGCCACTGCACCCAGCTTATTTTCTTTTTGTACAGTTATGAGTATTTTGTCTTTTCACATAGTTTAATTTTGAAATTAATCGAGTCGGGAACCACTGTTGCTCCCCTTATACAAAGTATACTCTCCAGTTTCCGAGAGAGAAGAATCAAAGATTCATAGGGTTTCTGGAAATTTATTGAGAATACCCTGGGTAAAGACATTGTCCATATGTTAAAGACATGACAGAATCAGACAGATGCACCTCTATTTGTATTTCCTTATATTTAATACCCCAGAATTGTTGGGTTGGGCCTTTAAACAGGCTACTGGACAGCACTGCTGCCACTCCTGCCATCACTGCAGAGGGGCTGAGATGAGCTGCAGTGCTGTTGATGTAGGTTTTGTGTGCACAAAACAGCCCATGAGCTTGTTCTCTGTGCTTGACCTCATTGAAGCCTAGGGTATCAGTCCCAGCTCTGAGCAACAACCAAGGTCTTATGTTTATTCAGAACAGAGTTGATCATCTTCGGTAAGACCTGCTCTCTATCACACAGGAATGAATGAGAAAAGTTGTTCATAGAATTTACGAGCCCAGGACCTTGGATATGCTGAAGGCATTTACACTGCGCTTCTAAGAGTAAGCCCAAGTAAGTAAAAATATGTTCAAATTGCTGCCAAAACACTGTTAACGTGTTTCAAAGATCGATTTAGCTGCTTGTTATAAGATTGCACTTAAAAATTTAAGAAGTTATAGTAAAGGTTAATACGAAGAAATGAGAAAAGGCATAAGAGAAAAGCATAAAAGAAACAGCAAGATGGCAAAGATTGTCACACAAAGTAAAATTAAAAGCAAAAGGAAAAAGATGATGTTAAAAATAATAAAAGGTGGGGCTAGGGATTTAGCTCAGCGGTTCGGTGGCCTGCCTTGCAAGCGCAAGGACCCGAGTTCAATCCCCGGTACCAAAAACAATAATAAATAAATAAATAAATAAATAAATAAATAAATAAAAGGTACAATAAGACAAAACTTAAATAGTTGTTCCTCAGAGACTATGGGAAATTGGCCAGAACCCCCGGTAGATATAAAGATTTCTGAATACCCTGGTTCCTGATATACAAGGGAACTTGTAAAATGGTGTCAAATTTGCATACAACCTACTTTAATTCATCTCCAGATTATTTATAATACCTAATACTTATATTGAAAATGCTCTGTGAATAGTTATACTGTATTTTTATTATTTGTATTATGTTTTTATTGTTGTGCTGTTATTTTCTATTTTAAAAAATATTTTCAATTCATGGTTTGTTGAATCTGCAAATTTGGAACCCACAGATGCAGAATGTTGATGGTAATAGTCATAAAACTTTATGCACAGACTAATACAGAAAAATATATATGTATATATATGATAATAAAATAGAAACTTACGACAGTGTAGTAGATCTCAAATTTAATGGCAGATTTTAATATTACACTTTTAATATTAAACAGATTGAGTAGTTTAAAAATAAATTATTAGCCTGGCCTGGTGGCTCATGCCTGTAACCCCAGCACTCAGGAGGCTGAGTTCAAGGCCAGCCTAAGCCAGACAGTGAGTTCAAGGGCACTCTGGACTGCATAGCAAGACCCTAACTCCAAAAAAGCCAAAAACTAAAATAAAAATAAAAATAAATGATTATAAATATTGTGAATATATAAAATTATTTCAATACTGAATATTTTAATATAATATAACAATATATATTTTAATAGATAATATGTTTAACATGTAAGTATGCAGACTTAATTAAGGACATACAAAAGTTTTCCAAATCCCCAGTGAACATTTGTACAAGTTGACCATGTACTAGAACTCAATTTTGGACTAAATTACAAATGATTCTGACTTCAGTCTTCTTAGTAAGTTCTCTCCTTTGCTGGCTTTGGTGAAAGAAGCTGCCATGTTAGGGAGGTCCACATGCTGAAGCAAGCTACCATATTGAGAAGGTCCACATGACAAGGAACTTAGGCTTTTTCAGTCCAGCAGCCTCAAAAGAACCAAGTCTTTCACATAGACATGTCAGTAAGTTTCAAAGCACATCCTTCCCTGTGTGACCTTTTTCTGGCCAACTCCTTGATTGGAAAGACCTTGAAGCAGAAGATCTACCTTAGTGATGAGATAATTCTGTGTGCATGTTGTTTTAAGCAACAACATTGCTGGTAATTTGTTATGCAGGAACAGATAAGTATACTGATGCCTAACAATCTTTTGACAAAAACGAACAGCCATTTCTGAGCAAGGAATTCTCTGCTTAGTAGACCTTCCTTAATAAAATTTCTAACAGTAATACTTCTGTCCCTTCTCCTAATCTTCCTTTCATGGGAATGTCTGGTGAGTTTCGGAGAAAAGACAGATTTTTTGACTCTCACTTGTGAGATATGTTTTAGATGTGTTCACCTGCAGAAGAAGATCCTTTCTGAAATGTGTTTCTCCCTGAATATTATGCATTTAAGGGCAGCTGTGCCTCTGTGAAGCAGGCCTGCCGTCATCATCTTCACTTGAGTAAGTTTATTTGTGGGATGAGGAATTAGGAAGCCCCGTGAGTCCACATATCTGCGCCACATTCTTCGGTCACTCTTCCAATTAGGCTGGTGTTTTGATCTACAGCTGTCTAATTCTTGTGTTCAGAATTGGTGCTAAACTCGAGGAGGAGAGGGTGGACAGACAGCTTTGTTATTCATTGGTGCCCAAAGCCCCAACCGTGTTAATAATGTGCCAACCCAACTTTAAGCAAGCAGGGACTACAATGTGTGAAGTCTCTCTGAAAACCAGACATAGAGTACATCTGGGTTTCTAAGTACACTCCTTTGGAGTCATCCTTGGTTTTGTTCTTTCACTTTCCATGCAGTCTCTTAGTGCGTCCTGTAGGCTCTGTATTCACAATCTATTCAGAGACCTGCTACTATTCCACTCCTTCAGTCTTGGCCCAAGCCACCTTTATTTTTTTCCGAGATCACTGCAGTGGCCTCCAGATACCTCCCTGCTCCCCCCATCACCCACTTGATATGCTCGTATCATGTACCTGCTTTGCTTTCAATCCTTCCATGGTTCTTCCCTTTGCTTGGAACAAAATCTAAAATCCACGTAATGGTCCTTAAGTAGTGACTATATACTTTATTTTTCAAATATGGCCAGTTTTGAGAGTGAACAGGGAAGTTACTACAAATCATCCGTGAACAATAGCCATTTAGGATTTTGCCAGGCAAGTGAGAGGCATGCTCACCCTGCAAGGCCTGACATCTGTTCCATACCCTGCTTTCTATCAGCTCTCGCCACCTATCTGTATATCCCTCTTACTCTCTCCCATCCTCCCAAACAGACTTTCTTGCTAGTCCTTGAACATGTAAAGCATGGCTCCTACCTCAGGGCCTTCACTTTTACTCTTCCTTCTACTTGGAAGACTCTTTCCTGATACGAGATGGTCCATACTGTTTGTGGTCTGTCTTTTTCTCCCAAGAATGTGAGCTCTACGAGAGAAAGATCTTGGTTTCTGCTTGATTATGTATCCAGCCTATCATATGAGAAGCACTAAATAAATATCTAGTGAAGGAATACAGAGTGGTAAGGTGAATAGACACGTGGGAATCATGGTATCCCTTACGGAACCACAAAATATTAATATTTAGTTCCATCAGATGAAATGAGAATAATTTATCAACAGAAAGGGTGACTGTACTTATTGTTTTTGTCACATAAAGCCATAGACACATCTGTTCAGAAGTAGCATCATTAATAGAAACAAAACCCAGCTCACGGTTAAACTAAGAATGGTGGGCTATGGCCAGGTTTTCCATGTTTATATTTGTTTGCATTTTGTTAATCTCTTTCATCCTCCTTTTTCCTCTTACAAGAACTAAAGGTTTTAGGGAAAAATTGTTGTACAAAAGCATATAATTTTGAATATTGTCTCCATTGACTTCACTGTTTCTGTACAAAGAAAATTATTGCTAGAGTTCAGTCACAGAACAGCCAGGAAAGTTCTTCTGATGACCTGGAGTTTAGAAGTATAGTAAATCACAACCCACTGAGCACAAAGGGCCCTCAGAGGCCTTCTTCTGAGTTATGCAGACAAGAACCTTGGGACTCAGGGTGGTTGTAACTTGTCTGAGTTTTAGAACCAGTGAGCCAAAAAACCCTTTTATACCATATTGAAGCACACCAAAGTCCTACACTTTGCCCCAACATTGCAACTTGTATAAAAGATTACTCAATTTAATAAGGAGAAACTGGCATCTTATTGTGGAGTTGTGTTATAAATTATAGTTATGAGTTCGATCTGTTATCATTTTAATTTTTAACTTACAGAGAGAATTTCTTTCTATATATTTTACCATTTTCTCCTTTTCTGAATTTCTTCTATCCATCTCTTGAGACAAGATAGATATTTATTAGTCTTTTTATTCTTCAACTGAATTTGCCTTTATAATATTTTATACTTACTTGCTTTGGTTTCTTTTTATATGTAAAGCTTCCTATACATCTGTATGAGTGCAGGAGGAGGGTAGTTATACATGTGTTTGTGTGTCAGTGTATCTTTGCTGTTCTTGTCATTAGTTGAGGGCAAAGTTTATATGGCTAACAATACATGTGCTATTACACACATAGCAACTTTTGTCTCACTTTCAGTGGTGAGTTAATCATCCTGGCTTTCATCCTGTGTGATCGGTCTAAAATGGATCAGGTGGCCTCAATGCATCCTGTCTTACTTTTTTTTAAAGTGATTTTTCCATCTTCTCATTCCAGCTTTCTACTCCTTTAAAACTTCCATTGCTGAATAAGTTTACAGGAAATGGGATAGATTTATCTTTTTAAAAAGGCAGCTACAAACTCTACTGTAAGCTTCCCAAAAGTAAGAGTGTATTTTATTCATTTTTAATTATTAAAACCTAGAACATCATATATAGTCTGTAAACCGTTGAATAATGGAACACGATTCCAAACTTGAAACAAATAAGGACTTTCTTTGAGAGTACTGACAAGTATATACATGACTTTTTGTAATACTTGACCCAATTTTAATCACAGTTGAGAGCTTTGAATCAGACACAAACAAGAGTAGAAAATAAAACAGTAGAATTAGCTACAGAGGGAAGTTTTTGAATTTCTTTTCCTAAAAAAAAAAAAAATCACAGGAAATGCCTATTTGAAGTGTTTCTTTTTTCATTGTTGTCCAATACATGGGACACAGATCAGCTCATCCTGCTGGACTCTTAGGGATTTCTGGTACTGGTAAATTTGAGGGCAGAAACTGTGTAAGGGTCATTTAATCTTTGCAACTTCCTTTTTTCTTTTGTGCATGAGGATTGCATTCATGGGTCTGGTCCTGTTTCTATTCTTCCCTTGGCAAAGACCTTGACAATAGACAATAGAGATAGAAGTTCTTGTGCTTACATCAAATCCATTTGCTAGTAACTTTGCCTTCCACTGTGCCTATGTCTGATGAATAGTTTTTGCCACCTTTTTTCTTTCTCCCCATCATTATCCAGCAGAATCTGTGTTCTGCTGTCTCTTTAAAAATGGGACACCAGGTAGCTCTCATCAACCTTCAGGAGACCTGAACTCTACTTGCTCCTTGCTTCAAGGGTTGAATCATTTCCCATCTAAAGTCAGCGACCTGCCACTGCCCTTGACAACCCTATGACCAGGGAAGGGACACCCATGCCTGCAAGTCCATTATGGTCAGGCCGCAACACCAGACACTCTGCTTCACTGCACTGGACCTTAACCAGGTCGATCGTGTTCTTTCTAGAACACTAGTCTGTTTCCTCTCTGATCAGGTCCAGGCTGCTCCAAGTGACCATGTGTTATGCCAGATCCTGCTTCTTCCTGCCCATAATAGTTTAATAATGTCATCTCCATTGTGGAGACGAGGGAAAGTGAGATGACACAGAATATCACAGAGTGAATAAATTTAAAGATAATCTTTCTACTAGAACATTGGGATTTTGGAGATCACGGTCACAAAATGGTCAGATATTAGACAGAAGACTAAAGGAATTTTTTCTTTCACCTTGCCTCTGAAACCCACCCCAAATATCCAAAGGTCAATATTAAAATTCCATCTTCAACCAAAAAAAAAAAAAAAAAAAAAAAAAAAGAAAGAAACAGGAACTGAAAGGAAAAAAATCTCATTCTCACCTATACTAAGCTTAAGTCATATACTGGTGCAATTAGTACTAGGACTATTCATTAATGCTAAGATTATTAATATTATAAAATATTAATACATGTAAAAGCACAGAAGTTAATTAAGTTATTTGGTTTAATACAGATCGCAAATAGCAGAAGTAGAACTCAGACCCAGGCCATTGGGCTCCAAGATGTGAACTCTCTACCTCCTCTGTGTTGCTCCTCTGATACTCATCTCCTTGGACTGGAGATGTCTGGGTCACAACCTTAAGTGGAATATTCAGTGACTAATTAAATGATTAGATGACCAATCCCAGGGCAGATGGGGTTCATCACTACAAAGAGCAATCAAGGATGCCCCTCAATAGAGGGGAGAGGAGGAAGAGCCGGTGAGCCAGTGGCCGATCTCTTTGGTCCCTGACCAAGTCTCCTTGTGGGCCAAAGCGGCAGGGCAGCCACAGCCAGATCACAACATAGAGTTCTTCATGGGAACCTGTCCTACTTTACTGACCTGGAACCCAGGAAGGAGGTGGATCCTCAGGGAAAAGGAGACGGTAGGGGGTGAGGGAATCTGCGCTGAAGCTCTTTGCTGACCATCCCATCTCCTTCACTTTACATTTTAAAAAATGTACTGAGGTAAGATGGACGTACAAAAAGCTGTGTATATTTAATGACTAAAATTCAATGGGTTTTCCCTTTTAAAAAAAGTGTCAGATGTAAGATGAAGACATGGCCTTTAAACCAGGTGTTCATGGGGCTGGAGTGTAGCTCACTGGTATAGTCTGTGTATGTACAAAGCCCCGGGTTTCATCCCCAGCATACAGAAAAGTAAAATCAGTTGCCTAATTCCAAATTCTACAATAAGTCAACTGATTCAAGGAGCTTCTCAATGTAGTATTTTTTTTTTTCTTACAAGAAAGAACCATGGTGAAAAAAATGTTGATAAACTATCCTTGAATTATCCTTCTCCAGCTTGTTCAAATTCATGTTCTTAATTTCATGGTCTAAAGAACCTGTTCCTAAGTTCCTTCAACTTTTCAAGCCACACCAGGGTGCTGCTCCTCTCTTTATGAAAAAAAACCAACAGAGGTGTTGCAGGTGGTAACTGACTGAGGCAGGAGGCCTCAACTTTGTAAATTCTTGGCATGGACTGAGTTCAAGTGAGAAATGGATATCTCACACTGAGAGAGTTCCTGAAAGTTGTGAAGATGTAATGAGCACGCCTCTGGCCACCCTGATCCTTTCTAGAGCATCATACAAGCCATTAGGCTCTTGAGTTGGCTAGCTTTCTTCTGCCTTTGGAAATACTGCCTTGGCTGCCCAATTAACTGGGAGAAACAACCTGCACATTAAGTCCATTGTTCTAAGCAGTTCCTACAGGACGTGTTCCTTGGCCAAAGCCATATCTCAAGGGGAAAGACTGTTGGCTTTTTGGCAAGAAAAAAGGTCATGCTGTGTTAAGGTAAGCCCCTAATCCAATATGATTGGTATTCTGATGAGAAGGGGACATTTGGACATTGACTCCCACACTGAGAGAAGTTTTTGTGAAGATGGAAGTTGTGCTACAACACGTCAAGCAACTTCCAGAATCTGGAAGAGATAACTGGAAGATATCCTTATCAAATATCACAAGGAGCATGGCCATGCTGACACCTTGACCTTGGACTTCAGAGAAATATACATTTCTTTGCTTCAGACACCTAGTTTATTGTACTTTGTAATGGCAGCCTTAGCAATCTGACAAAGGTTTGTTGCAGAGAATCATGAACAACTGATTGAATGAGACTATAACGAATTGTGTTCCTTACTAACAGTGGGATCTTGATGCATGAATTTTACTCCGTAGTTTGAGATGAAAGAAATGGACACTGTAGAGTCCATTTCAACCTGACTGCAGCTACCTTGGTCTGACCACCTTCTGCCCACCAGGTGGTCTTGGAAAGCATCTCAAGCCCTGTAGGGTAAACAAAGTCATTAGGATAGTCACCTGAACAACTTGTGCTGGACAGTGACGCCTTGACTATTAACTGTTGCTAGACATGTTGATAAGTCTGGGGAAATTCATACCTTGCAGCTGACCACAGGCCTCTTTTCTCTGGCCTAGTGTATAAAACCCTTACTCTGGAAGGTTTAGAGATTCTTCTGAACAGCACTTTGTCTTGCTGCTGCCCAACATACACTTCTGTCCATTCCGTGCAATCCTGGCTTTTTCCACCCCTTTAATCAGTCGCTCAGCACCTTCTGCCTCTGCTGGTAGATTCGTGTTTACCATGTTTCCCCAAATCACTCACTTATTTTATTTCTTTAAGTCAAATGCATCCCCATCTCATGAAATTAGCAGAAACTTTAATTTTGTGATGGTTCCTCTTTGCCCACAGCCCAGGGTATTGTGAATGTCCCTAGACTCTTCCACTATCTCGTGTCTTTGAGGAAAGCTTGTGTTCTTTGAGTATATGAAGAATCAATCCTGCACCAAGCTGGACTTGTCACCAGGCTGGAAGCATATTTCATGAAGTCTTTCCACCTTTGTGAGATAGCAAGATTCAGCTGATTCTTGCAACTCTTGGGACAACCCCATCTGAAAAAAATCCTGTTCTTTTGTTTGTTAGTTTTGTTTTGTTTTAATAAAATGTCACTCCTCTACCTTTTCCTTCTTCTCTCTTCAAGGTACTCACATCTCTCTGCATCCCCTCTGGAGACATCCCAACCAGTTTAGGCTTTCAAAAATCAAAACCACCAAGCTAGGTTTTTACCTTGGTAACACAGATTCCCCGTGGCATCAGAATACACCAGCGATAGAAAACTCAGTGTGAAACACAAATATATTTCTACAGTAGATGATCCCAATGATTCACTCCCTCCTTCTACAAGAGGATTCGATGACCCTGCCCATTTCTAAGTGATTCTCTGTGCGCCCTTGTAGGAAAATATCTGTTCTTCACACCACAGAAGTTGGGCTAGCCTTGTGACTTGTGTTGGCCCATGGGACGTGAGCACTCATGACATGATGCACCAGCTGAGCATAAGCTTTAAGAGCTGCTTTATTTCCATACGCTCCCCATGCTCTTTCTCCTCTGCCAAAGAGAAGAGTATGCTCCTGATGGAGACTGCTGCTTCTGCCTGGGTTCCAGAATGAGGAAAGTATGTGGGAGGGACCCACAGCCAACTTGCAGTTGTGCAGAGCTGCAACCCAAAGCCAATGCACAGCCAGTGTGTAGCAAGGGCAAGAAATATATCTTTGTTATAAGCTCCTCAGATCACTGGGTCTGGGGTTGTTTGTAGCCATAGTATAATCTAGTGTAAGGATCCTATTAAAATATCTAAAAACTATTCTTTCACATTAGAAAGATCACTTCCCTTTCCTGAGACTCAATTCCATTGCAAGTGAATCTGGGGTTGTGTAGCCATAGTATAATCTAGTGTAAGGATCCTATTAAAATATCTCAAAACTATTCTTTCACATTAGAAAGATCACTTCCCTTTCCTGATACTCAATTCCATTGCATGTGAAGTGGGCTGGTAAGGCCACTGATATTATAGGTTCTTTACAGTTCAAATCTAGGATTCTAAATCAGTACTTGTATGTCCAGCTTCCTGTCCCATCCCCAATCCATAATGCCTACCAGTGAAGGCATCAGTTAGCTGCATGCTTTCTCCTACTCATTACAACTTTTATTCTAACCTAAGTATCTATGATAAAACAAGGATCCAACATGGTAGAGTGGAGAGAACTATGGTTTAAGATATATGCAGACTTAATTTTAATCCCAGAGGCCAATTTCCATCTTTTTTTAACCTTTAATCCATTTATTTAATCTCTCTGTGCTTTTATTTTCTCCTCTGTAAAATGAGGATGATGGTAGAGTTGTAAGAACAAAACAAGAGAAACAAATGTATGTTAGCTTTCTGTCACTGGGACAAAAATACCTGAGACAATAAGCTTTTAAGGAGGAAAATAGAGTTGTAAACAAAACAAGAGAAACAAATGTATGTTAGCTTTCTGTCACTGGGACAAAAATACCTGAGACAATAAGCTTTTAAGGAGGAAAGGTTTATTTTGGTTCACAGTCTTGGAGGTTTTAGTCCATGGCTTTTTTTCTACCTAAACTATCATTCCCATTAGCACAAGTAAGTCCTTGCCATCATCAGAGACAGACTGCTGTTGATCAGATATTAGTTGTCCCATTACTTTTGGGAAGTCAGGCAGCATCTCATGGTGGGAGCATGTGGCAGAGGAAGCTGCTAACCTTGTGGGAGCCAGGAAACAGGAAAAAAGGAGAGACCGTGGTCCCCACATTCTCTTTAAGGGCGTGAACAGAAAATGTTGATTTAGGCCCCACTTCCTAAAGGTTTCATCATTGTCTAGTAGTACCACAAAGTGGGGACCAAGCCTTCAACAATGGGCTTTTGTGGAACGCATCCAAACCACAGCAACATTTGGCATTTCTAAAACAGGTCTTGCTACATATTATGTATTCGATGAATGCCCGTTGCTCTCTTCCTTTTAAATATCTAACCTGTTTCTATACCCAGGAGGATTTGCAACTTAATAGAAATTAGTATCGGAGGACATATGGAAGATATCCTAGAACTTCATTTCTGATAACAACAGTAGAAAGAGATATATATATATAAAGTCAGGGATTCCTGTGAATTAAGCAGAAATAGTCTCTGTGTCCTACATAAAGAGCTGTTAGGTATTGCATAATTCTACTTGGGACAAGCCAATTAGACATCTACCTGAAAAACTGTACCTTATTAACTTTTCAAATTATTTCTTAGACAGGCATTTCCAACAAAGAAATATTCTGATGACTAGATTGCTTTGTCACACCCTCGTCACCTCTTACTTTGCTCCTAATAAACTGAGCATTTTCTTTGTCTGTAAAAGCCACATGGAGATTTTAGGGCTTCTATATTTTTGTTTCATTAACTCAAACAACCTCAGTATGTCAATTACTGCTCCCTAGGCTATAGAGAAACATAAATGGAATCTCAAAATGTAACTCATAGATTCTAAGCAGGTTCCAAGTGATAATTCCAGTTCAGATGATTAATCCAAAGAATAGACAGCCTGAGTATTTGGGTCAGAAATGGAAAAGCAATGATGAAGGATGCTTTCTAACTGGTCAATTTCAATTTCACTGCAAAGGCAGGGGAGGACTCTCTGTGGAAAACAAACTGTAAATGAT